TAAAATTAGGCCCCTTTTTGTCCATCTTTCCAACTCAATGGTTTGGTCAGGTCAGCAATTAGTTTTATAGGTCTGGTCTTGCTATTAATTACATAATTAACCACAGGCCCTAACCAATCTGGACATGCATTCCAGGTGTGTATTTGCAATTACTTATTATTCAGAGACTGATGTAGGCCTACTGACTGAAAGAACAGTCAGAACACAGTCATGGCAGGGATTGTTCACATCTTCCATGCTGGAAGGAGAGGTTACCGCCAAAGGGTCCACACCGAGCGCCCCAAACCTCTCCAACAGTACACAACAGAAGAACTGTACAATCGTTTTCGATTTGGACTTGATGACATCAACTACATTGCTGATCTGGTCAGGCCACAACTGCAGTGCAGAACCTTGCGGAGTCATGCTCTGACTGTAGAGGAACAGGTCCTCATTGCCCTGCGCTTTTACGCATGTGGAACATTCTATCAGGTCATAGCTGACAGCATGGGAGTCCACAGGACAACAGTGGGTGAAGTGGTGACAGCTGTGTCTGATGCACTGGCTCGCCTGCTGGATCACTTTGTGACTTTTCCCAATGATGGCCAGATTGCCAAAGTGAAGCAGCAATTTTTTCTTCTGGGAGACATGCCCAACACCATTAGGGTGATCGACTGCACCCATGTACATATTCAAGCACCTCGTCAGAGGGAGTGGGAATATGTCAACAGGAAAGGGATCAGCATCAATGTGCAAATTGTGGGAGATGCTGACCACCTTGCCATCACCAACTGTGTTGTGAGATGGCCTGGGTCAGTCCATGATGCACGAATCTTCAGAGAGAGCCGGTTGTTCACTGAATTTCAAACCAACAGGCCGGATGGAGTTATATTAGCCGACAGTGCCTACCCACTCCTACCATGGGTGATGACACCTTTTCCCACGGCAAACACTCCCTCACAGATGCGCTACAACAACGCCCATGGAAGAACAAGGTGTGTCATTGAGCGCTTGAATGGAGTACTGAAGAGGCGTTTTGCATGCCTGAACTATCTGAGAGTGGAACCCCAACGAGCATGCTGCATAACCCTGGCTTGTATTGTGCTACACAATATCGCTGTCCATCGCAGAGTCCCCCTCTCTGACATCGATGATCCCCCAGAGTCCCTCGCACCTGCTGATGATCTAGGCCCACCTATGGATTTCCCTCTAAATGAGAGACTGAGTGGTGGTGCAATGCGAGATGCTATTGTCCGCAATTACTTTTGAAAGGTGATGACAGATGATGGACCTTTTTTTTGTTGAAGATATTTTTTCTTTAATCTAAATTACATTTGTGATTGACAATCATTGTTGTGATATTTTATGAGCATAAACATTTATGTCATCAACATTTGGTTGAAAACAAAATAGGCCACCACAAACGTGAGCAAAAATGGAAAAATAAAATGTATTTCCCATGGAGGCTAAAAATGGTGTATTATTTCAGTTAACAAACTTTGCCATCTTATTTAAATTGAAACATATTTTAAAATAAATTGTACAGTACATTTTGCTCTGGTAATCCACCTCCTGGTGGGATCAGGATAATCAATTTTTTTGGGATCAAACTGATCCCAATCCTGTGTTACCCATTTTGAAGATTTGATCCAGATTAAAGCTTGGATTGGATTTCCTGATCTGATTGGATATCAAAGTGATCCTAATCCTGTTTTTTTGGTTTTGAACTACCCAAAATCCAAATCTGATCTGATCAGATAGGGATTCAAAGTTTTGAACTCCAGGGCCCAGAACACAGGGAACATCAAGAAAAGCATAATGGGGCTCCTTTAAAGTATCAGATTTGGATAATCACTGTTTAAATGAAGCTCCTCGATGCACTTGAAAGTATGAGTGAAGGTCAAGAGATCAGTGAAAAAGATTTACATTTTAATTTAAACCTACCACAAGTCAAATATTAGCATACATATTTGAAATAATTTGTCAATGTTTAACAAACTAGAGAATACAATTCCTGAAGAAATTGCTAGTGGGAATGCTTTATGCTGAAAAGCTGACGCTGAATTGCTATGCTGAAATGTAATGTGTAAGAAGAAAGTGAAGAATTTAGATTGAAATGATACATGAACACTGGGGGCTTGAATGTGTGATGAGAGAAGAAAAGAAAGTAAAAAGGCTTGGAAAAGCAGCAGAATATTTGAACTGCAAACTTTTGAACTAACTTGATGGCGAATGCTCTATCACCATGGCAACGGCATTTGATGACACCCCATAATACGCTTAGATGTGTTGATGGCTGCATCGTTACCAAACCTGTGAAGTTTTGGGCCATTTCGAGCATTTGAACTGAAGTTGTGAGAAAACCGTGTTTCATAGTGAACGTTATGTTGCCAAGGCAACGGCATTTGAAGAAATCTTAAAACTGTCAAATAGATGTCTTCACGGCTGGACTGTTAGCACACATGTGAAGTTTGAGTTTAAAACCACAGCACTGAGACTGCTCTTGTAAAGGTCTTCAATGACATCCACTTAAACACAGACAGTGGCAGAACTTCAGTGTTAGTATTATTAGATCTCAGTGCTGCGTTTGACACTGTTGACCACAACATATTACTAGACCGACTAGAAAACTGGGTTGGGACTTTCGGAAACAGTTCTAAATTGGTTTGAGTCCTACTTAAAGGACAGAAAAAACTTTGTTTCTATAGGTAAATACACATCTGGGTTGACAAATATGACATGTGGGGTACCTCAAGGCTCCATCTTGGGGCCTCTTCTCTTTAACATCTACATGCTACCACTGGCTCAGATAATGAAAAACAACAAAATAAGTTACCATAGCTATGCGGATGACACACACATTTACGTAACAATTTCACCAGGAGACTATGCTCCAATTCAAACACTGAGTAAGTGCATTGAACAAATCAATGACTGGATGTGTCAGAACTTTCTCCCAATTAAACAAAGATAAAACTGAGGTAATGGTTTTTGGAGCCAAGGCAGAACGTATAAAAGTTAGCGCTGAGCTTCAGTCTGCAATGTTCAAAACAACAGATAAAGCCAGAAATCTAGGTGTAGTCATGGACTCTGACCTGAGTTTCAACAGTCACATTAAAACAGTTACTAAATCAGCCTACTATCACCTAAAGAATATATCCAGGATTAAAAGACTAATGTCACAGCAGGATTTGGAAAAACTTGTCCATGCTTTTATCTTCAGTAGACTGGACTACTGTAATGGTGTCTTTACAGGTCTCACTAAAAAATCTATTAGAAAGCTGCAGCTAATTCAGAACGCCGCTGCTCGAGTCCTCACTAACACTAAGAAAGTGGATCACATCACTCCTGTTCTGAAGTCCTTACACTGGCTTCCTGTGTGTCAAAGAATAGATTTCAAAATATTGTTGCTGGTTTATAAAGCTTTGAATGGTTTTAGGCCCAAAATACATGTCTGACCTACTGCTAAATTATGAACCATCCAGAACTCTCAGGTCTTCAGGGACTGGTCAGCTTTCTGTCCCCAGAGTCAGAACTAAACATGGTAAAGCAGCGTTCAGTTATTATGCTCCAAATATCTGGAACAAACTCCCAGAAACCTGCAGGTCTGCTGCAACTCTTACTACTTTTAAATCCAGGCTGAAGACTTTTCTTTTTGCCGCTGCTTTTAATTAAACTATTCATATCTTAAACTGCACTGTAACTTTATCCATGTATTTTTTCTTTTAATGTTTATTTTATTATCTTTTATTTTTAATGACTGATTTTAAATGCCATTTTCTTAATGTCTACCATTTTTGTAAAGCACTTTGAATTGCCTTGTGTTGAAAGGTGCTATATAAATAAACTTGCCTTGAGCACTTTTTGACCATTTTCATAGGAGTTATAGCAATATCGTGTTTTACGGCGAGGGATGCATTGCCATGGCAACAGCTTTTGAGGAAAACTCACTAATGGCACATAGACATGAAGGCTGGACCATTAACCATTATCTGAAGTCTGCTGCTCTGAGCATGTCAGTTGGAGTTATGACATCGTGTTCCATGACACAGGTGTTTATATTTGAGCTAACGACGTGTCCAGAGATCAAAGGTTTCCATGGTGATGTGCAGTAATCAGTGAGAGGAGAGCCTTTTCATTGTTCTGAATGAGAGATAAACCTCTTACATGTGAACGTTTTGTTGAACCGTAACAGATATTGGTGAAATTTCAACGTGTGAAGCATCTGAAGGAAGTTGAGCATCTGAAGTGTGCTTTTTGTGTACTTTCGGGTTAATGTGGCCTTTTTGGCAGATTAACTAAAGGTGTGCGGCTAATGCTGTGAGTAAAGATCAGCTTGAATTTACAATTGGCTTTAATGGAGACATGAACGTTTTTGTCACTTCATGCCCTCAAGAGGCATTTGGTTTAATTTATTTTTCAAGCTTAGAGATGTTTTCCTACGTTTGTCATGACAAATTAAGTCTCAGGAGTGTAGTGTTTGGGAATTATGGCAGGTTTAAAAAAAATATATGAAGGCGAATTTCAAGCTGTCCTCCACTCTAGCTTTGAGATCATACACCTTAATGTTAAAATCTGAAGAAGGCCTCTTTACCAAGGTCGGAACAATGTTTAATATTTCTAAAAGAATGAATCAGATTTAAAAGTTGTTTAACATGAATGTCAGAAAGATATATATTTTTTTTAACTAAATGCTCACTCCAGGCAGTCTCCAACAAATGCATAAATTAGGCATATTTTGAGTTTCAACAATATGAATACTAAAATATGGCACACTTTTGGAAAGGTATTTTCAAGCCTCAGGAGACTAAAGTTCAAGGTGCAATGTTATGATGAAGCAGTATGTCCGTATTGTATGCCTATTGCATGAAACCGTACACACAGGCAGTTGCTGTACAGTACATAATACATTTAAATATATGTGATTTGGAACGGAAAATTAGTTTGGACCTCCCCATAACCATAGAAAACACAACTATAGATTAAAAAAAACTCCAATATTCCCAAGAAAATACTACAAGTGTGAATTATTTAAAAATATTTTATTAGGACTTTGTTTAGGAGCTCATTATAATGATTGGTCCTGAAGTTACGTGTTTGAAACCAGGGTCATCTGAAACGTCACGATTTTGACCTGTGGGAGAAAAAAGAAAAATATATATCTTAGCCACTTTATTCAAAAGTCATTGTCCCATTTTATAATTTGAGCAAACACATGTAAACCTTATTGTACATTACTGGATAATGAAATCAGCATGTATGAGAGCATACCCTTCATCGTGTTGTCCTGGTCTGAACACTGCACATTACAAGCTGCATCCACTGGATTTCTAACATCACAGATTACCACCTCACAGTGGACAAAGACCTACAAGATATGAACAGATTTAAGGGTTTGTTATAGACAGCGTACTTTTGTTTTCCAAACTCTGATGCTGCGTTCACCACCGGACGCGATGCTAATATTCACATCGCTCGAAGCGCTCGAGTTTCACCGCGGCTGCGTTTACTCTCATCATTCAAACAAGACGCGCTGGCTCGGGAGCTACAACTACAACAAAATGAACATATTTTACCGTGATTAAAATTGTAATACACGTTTCTAAATGATGCCGAAGTAACAACATACTGATACCGGTTGGTAAAAACCATAAATTAATGCTTGACAAGTCTGCAGACAAGACGGCAGGCGAAAAACCTTTTTAAATGCTTGTTGAATGAAGATCAGGTCGACCAGGCTAAGCTAACGTTGTATATGCTCATTCCACACTCATAACAATGAGCCTACAGACATAAATAAACCAGCGACTGTATTCGCCATGACACAGACAGTCTGTGGTTTGTACTCGTTTAACTTTTGTCCAGTTTCTGAACAGATATGAGGAGCTGTGAGCTCTGTGTGCTAACTGCTAATGTTTTCTGGTTGAACGTCAGGCTGAGATCCTCACCGCTGATTGGCTTCTGCGAGAACGCGTCACGTGAATTTGACACTCGAGTTGAAAAAAATTGAACTCTCGCGTTTGACGCGGCACCGTTAAATCGCGCCCACCGCTTCATGCTCGCTGTCGGAGCGAATTTGCGTCTGTCCGCGTCTCTGCATTGACTTTACATGTAATTGCGCCACCCCCAAACAGCGCGTCCGGTGTGAACGCACCATGAAGCATCTAAAAATAAAAAGACTATTTATTCTTATGACTGATAGTACCTGGCGGTTCAAGTTATCCTTGTCTTCGGCGAAGGCAAACATCGGGACCTCAAACCGCTTGAAGTTGGAAGGATAATGAACTCTGCCCTTAGGCAAAACAGAGTGGAAGATCACTGGGTGCGGGTCCCTTGAGTTTGCACAACTGAGGGAGAAAAAAAAAAAAGTTATTTTATTTGGGTAAAGATGTCCAAAAGTCTGCAAAATGAGCACCCTATGATTTTAAACCATCCCTTTTGTTCAGTTTGACAAACAGTTAATTGGGACAAAAAATAAATAAAGAAATATATACAAGTTACCCATTAACGATGAGGTCCCATCGAGGGAGGGACGTCTTGTCCTCCTCCAACGTCACCCAGCAGTACGCCAGCTCAAGAGATACTTTAGGGTTGTAAGATCCCATCAGTTCCACCTCGAAATACAGCGGCTGTTGTTGGTACTTTGTGATGGGATCGTCCTCAACGCGCTGAAACACACTGTAGGAGTCGTCTGAAGTGAAGCAGAACATGTTGACCCGAATTAGACAGGAATAGAAACGGCCTGTACACAGAACATTAAGGTGCATAACGCAGAAGAGTTTAACTTGGATTTACATAGTCAACATCCCAGGTGCCAACTCAGTTCATTGGTTTAAAGATTAACTTTATGAAAAAAACCATTCCAATTACTTAAAGCAACTAGATTCATATGAACTGTCCAAGTTACCCAAAATCCTGCATTTTGATAGAAAGTGTTATCCTATCTCTTTGCATTAAGCTTTTTCAACGTGTTGACATGATCGAAAGAACTCTTATTTCCCCCTGTTTCTAGCTTTGGGAGAGTTTCCAAATACTCAAAAAAATGAATCTAATCCTTAGCAAGCATGCAAGACAAAAACAAACCACACAAGGCATGAAGAACTTTCTTTACCCAAAGCAACTCTCATTTCAACCTGCATCTCGCCTCTTGCATCGTCAGTGTACGGTTCACTCCTGCGAGGTCGGGTGTTGAAGCCCATAGCCTGGTTTGTGTTGATGTCATAGTAACAGAACACCTGAAGCCTGAAAGAAGAAAACTCTTACGTGGGAACACTTAGAACTGTTCAATTGTTACCAATTGGCACCGTTAACATCTGGGATTGCACCATAGAAGGATTTATGGCGTACCAGTTGACTTCTGATAAGGAAAATACCATTTAAGAGTCTTTAAAGTTCTAACTTTTGTCACATGGTTAGCCTACAAAGTCTCTGTATTTGTTTTTAAATTTGGCGTCAGACTGTCAGTTTACATAATGGTGAACATGAATGTTTACGGCTGCAAAACCCAGATTTCTTTTAATAATGTCCAAGCTGAGAATTTCTCTTTTCTGACCAAAAGTCTAAAACCCAATGACCTGAAGTTTATCATGTTAAGACAAACAGAAAGCATTAAAAAGCTGACATTTAGAAAACTGGAAGCACTTTTTGTTAATTAATCTTCCATGTCATTTTTCAAGCAACAGCTTTGATAATAAATTAATCATCCAACCTTCAGCTTGGTGATTCCAAGTCTCGAGATACTCACACAAACTCCGGCTCCTTCAACTGTGACAGCTTTCTCAATTCAAGTTCATCTGTGATGGAGATTTCATTCTCATACACCATCATATTGGGCAAAAACTAAGAAAAGACAAATGGAAAATCATTTCTCAGTTTTAAACCTACCGCAATCAGCAAGCTGTTCAGCAGCATGCTTTACCTTTCTGGTCGTCCCACAGGTGTTTGCAGTGAAGACAAAATAAGCGTACTGGTCGTTGCTGTATGTGGGGCCACAGGCGGGGTTTCTGAGGGTGAGCCGTCGGGGGTTCAGACTGGGAACAGACTCCATGGTTATAGCCAGAGCCGTGATGGTCCCATTAGGGAAACACCCTGAAAAAGACGATCAGACATTTGTATGCATTGGAGATTCAAGCCTACATAAGAAAACGTATTCTCTTTAACAAACCGATCAGCTTTGTGACGAAGTTGCAAGTCAAGGAGAAGTCTTTGATATGTTTGTTGGTCTTCGGATATCTCAGAGTCACATCCAGTCTGCTCTTGATGGATGACTCCTCAACAGCCTGAGAAGTTTTCAGAAACAATACATTGATTTAAAGAGGACTATAATCGTGACAAATGTTGATAAATCCCTGCACATTTAAAACTTTGGTTAAGAGTCATACCTCGACCGTAGCATCAGCTGCAGAAGATGGTACAATCAAACTGAAATGTGTGTCGTTGCCCATTAAGCCGTACTGCTGAGCCAGGCTCAAGGTCAGCATTCGTTTTCCCATTATGGTCTGAAAGTTTAATCCTTTGGTCCCGTATTTCACGAGGACATGGAAATTCTTATCATCACAGCTACCTGAGACAGAGGGAAGATCTGCAGAGGGAGGAAAATACTTTGAAACATCTGTGCTCGTTTTGTTATGAATTCCTCTTATCCATGGGTACAGACCTATGTCTTCTAGTTTAGCTCTCAGATAAGCAGTGGCAGTAAATGGAGCATGCTTTGGCAGGACCAGGAAGCCAAAGGTCAGATGAAGATTGTAAATTGTAACTCCCATTTCTTTCTGTTGGGAGAAACAGATAGTTATTAGCTGACAAAATTAAATAAAAAATGCATTTCATTTCCCACGTTGAGTGTAAGGCTCACCCTTTGTCCTACGACACGGTCCGTGAAGGGCACTTCAACAGTATAGACCTTTGAGAAGCCGTTAGGGGACATTTGTTCAAAGACTTTAAAGCCTCTGGCAATGCAGTCGGCCAAGGACAAAACCTCAGAGGGGGAGCTGATGTTCTTTAGTGTTACATCAAAGCCCACCGGCCCAATCAACGCCTTAAACATCATCTCCTTGGGAACAGTGGCTGTAGGTCAAAAATGAAGAAATTAAGGCAGGTTGCAATTTATGTAAAAAAGTAACATGAGTACCAAGATAATATGACTCACCGTCAATGACTTGTGGAGGTTGAAGCTGCAGGGGGGGTCTCGACGGGGAGGAAGACTTTGTATCTCGTGTCCTCATTAGTGTCGTCTTCAGTCCAGAGCAACTCGAGCATCAGCTCAATCATATAAGAAGTGAAGTACTGACCATCCTGGACATGACTCTGCATAAACAAACATCCTGAGTAAGGCCTTTCCTGAATAACATCATCATCTACAGATTTAAAGAAAAAGGGAAATTTGTCTGGCAATGAAGCACTAGATGTTGCAACAGTCAAACATACTCACACGATCTGTTTACATTTGTTTTGTACATACCAACAGGATTTCAGTAGTGTTATTTTCCATGAAACAACAAAGTGTGATTGCTTGTTAAACTGTGTCTCTAAAGTCTAAAATGACTTGAATGTACCATTTAACTACGCTGATTTCTCCACTGTTGTGAGAAATTCTTTAGATCCAAGAAATATAAACATCTACATTTTGCCCTTTTGTAGTATTTTAGATGTTTTTTTTGCATAGCTGCATACATGACTAAAACGACCTCGTCAATGTATGGACTCAATTGTTTTATCTAACCTTGATCTGGCAACCAGCAGCCCCAATAGGGATTTCAACAATGACGTAAAGGTCATCGAGAGTCAGGGAATAGTTTCTGGCCGAAATCTCTGTAGCTTCGAGCTTCCTTCCATCGACGCCCATGTTCATCTCCAACAGTCTGAAGTGTTTCGAGTAAATCAGAGGGTCAATGCGCCTCGGCAGGAACCAGCGGATTGAGGTTTCAGTAAAGAAAACCCCACCTGTACACCAAAAAAAAGCTAATAAATACACTTAAAGAAAGGTCTAACATGGAAAGATTTAAGGAAAAGGGCTAACGTTTCGGAAATAGTGAAATCCTCAAAACATTTTGACTGAACAAATAGTTAATCATTCGTATTTTATTTAAACAATCTGAAAAAGGAGAATTCAAATTATGAATGTAGCAGTTTTACAGCCACATACAGTAACAAATCCTTAAAGTGTCATTTAAAAAAAAAATAAAGCACTTCTTCCTGGATACAAGTTCTGGTGGGGAAGATATTTTTGGCTCCATTTTTAGAAAAGTTTGATATTTAAAAAAAGCTGGAATCAGAAATAATACTGGCAGATGTGTTTTTTTAATTCCTGACAGTAGAAAGTGCCCCAAATTCCGAGTGAAAAACACTAGAAGACATGACATCAGAGAGTCTCTTTACATTACCCTGAGCTTGAGGACAAGCGGCTCGTGCATAAAGTTGAGTAGTCAGCTTCGTCTTCTCAAATATAATCAAGGTGCTGAGCACAGTCATCGGCACACCTGCTACCTGCGGGGGGAGATTACACAACATGTGGATGTAAATGCATACTGTGGTAACATAATAATTTCCCTCGTAAAAATATGGGGGGGTTATAAATAAGAACTCACTGATTTAAGAGTGCCAACTGGATTCCAGACAAAGTAATGCATTTGAAAGGCTGTCTGATTACATTATTTTATCTATGGCTGCAAGTGTAAGCAAGTACCTAATGGGCTGCAAATGATTTAACAAGTCTGCCTGAGGGGAAAGATATCAAGTGAGAGTTGTTTGAATCTCAGTGAACTGCAGTCCACTTACATCCTTGGTGTATGTTTCACGTGAAGGATTTGGGCTTCGCAGCAACAGCCTGGTAGGAGTGCTTGAGATCCCATAACCATTTCTCTGGGCTTCGTCCACCTGCATGACCCTCTCCTCAGGAGTGAAGAACACCACTGTGTTGATTCTGAAGCTTGCGTCCATGGGTTGCTGTGAGGCAAATATCAAGACATTACATACAAGATGTTTCTAGAATAAGAAAAGAAAAAAAAGGCAAAATGAGCCAGTCTTACTGTACCTCAGCAGCTTTTCGGGGATCCGAGTCGGAGTATGCAGGCAGGTTATATTCATTTGGAGCTGCTTTTTTCACAGACACCTAGAAATGAGGCCACTCCATAAGTGATAATCAATCTCTGCAGTGACATGCAATGTACCGGCCTTGACACTCATACGAGGCATCAAGCCACTAATCATATAGACGGGAACATGCCATGCTGCGTTCACTTACCTCCATGTAGTTGGGTTTACAGATAATTTCCCGGGAGGCCCAGGGAGAGTAGTAGCAAGTTTCTTCCACCAGGTGAAACTCGTCTTCAACCACATTGTCAGATTGTAGCCGCAGACCTAGTTTTGTTGTGAATGCTTTATCATCCTAAAAACACATGGAAACAAGTCTCAAAATTAATTGCCATGTCAAAAGCAATATTTGGTGCTGCGTCACAAACTAGCATTCAGTCGTTTTTACCACATTTTGAGCAAAACAGTTTTGGACGGAGGCATAGATCACAGCGTTTCCCCTGTGGTCTTTCTTGATGGTGAAGCCACACTGAGAAGATAGACTTGGCATGAGGATGATTGAAGAGTTATCTGAGGAAACGAACAAGAAAAGTTCGAATTAAAAAAAATGAGATTAAGTTAAGAAAAAGCAACACATTTGAAATGTCAGCTTACTTATGACAGCGGACACTTCAAGAAAACTTCCTCCAAGTCCACTGACATCCACACGCAGCAAGTTTCCAAGGCATTTAGAGTTGATTTCTGGGATTAAAGATTTATATTAGATAGCAGCACACAAGTGTGTTGAAAAATATATCAAAAGGACAAAAACATACTTATTGGGTGCTTATTTTGTGCCTCAATGTTAACAACTGCTACAAGGAGAATGAACCACCTGAAAAAGATTGAATACATTTTAAATGTATAAAGAAAAATAAACCTTAATTTAAAATATATAGATAAAAAACAAAACTACAAACCCCAATCCAGCTGAACAACCCATGGCAAGAGTTGGGAGACTGGTGAAGGTCCCTGGTTTTTGCACTTTTTAAATGAATTTGTTGAGGATGAGGGAGGGTCCTGCTCAGCAGATATAACCACACACAGGTGGAGCACATTACTGCATAATGAGGTGATTGAGCAGGCCTGTGTGTAAAGTCTGAAGGGAATCCCAACATTTAGGGCGTTGAGGGTAGCAGAATGGCTGACTGAGCAGGGGAGAAGTATAGAAATATCTTTCATTAAAAAAGAAGCTGAAGCAATAATACTGAAGCATGGCCAAAGCAGTCGGATGAAGTTAAAAATAACTGAGAACAGCTAAATCTGTTAATCAGCTACCCAGTTTAGAGATTAGTAAGTATTTGGCATGAACATTAAGTTAATTTACTTATTTGTTTTGAACAATATTATATATTTGGTATGTTTCTTTTTTTCTTTGCATACACTTTTATGTTTAAATACTATACATTTTGCTGATATACTCACTTACTTTTACTTAAGTAACGTTTCTAATGCAGGACATATACTTGTATCAGAGAGAGTATTTTTACTGTGTAGTTTAAGAACTTTTACTTAAGTAAAATATCTGAATGTGTGTACAAGAAACTCCCTCTAAAAGGAAACTTTGGGATTGTAGCTTTTGCACACGGCCAGGAGTTCAAAACTTTAATCTCAATCAGATCCGACCAGATTTTGAAATCCCATTTTTTGTGATCCAGGATCCACAAATCGGCCAGATTTTGTCCCTGTAGTTCAAAGCAATTCAGGATAGGATCACCCTGATCCAGATTACGACTTTTCAAGATTACTAGATCCTGAATATCAGTGCTTTAATCCTACCGATCGCCATCTAGTGGATATGAAAAATAATACAAGGAAGACAAGAGACCACATTGCAGAGACATCTATAATGTTTAATTATATTTTTAAATACATAAAGGACATTAAATCAGAATGGAATTGTAATTTTAAAAAATACTCTCACTAGGGTAACAACAAAAAAACATTCATTCAAAGGCAGCTGGATCATCCAGGCGTGCTTTGAGGAGCTGAATTCTTAGTGAGGTTTCAGTTTGCTGAAGCCGGCACAGCTGTATTTGTTCTTCTGCCAGACGGATCTGAATCTCTGCCCTCTCCGTTTCACGGCTCAACAGTGTCTCGTAGGCATCATCCCTCTGCTCTGGAACTGGTGATGGACTTCAGACGGCGCCAACACTCCCCCCGACACCAGTGAACATCCAGGGAGCGGACATTGAGATTGTGGAATCTTACAAATACCTGGGTGTTCACCTGAACAATAAACTGGACTGGACTGATAATTCTGCTGCTCTGTACAAGAATGGACAGAGCAGACTCTTTCTGCTGAGGAGACTGAGGTCTTTCGGGGTGCAGGGGGTACTCCATACCTGCCAACCCTACCGATTTGGGCGGTAGTCTACCGCTTTTGACATGTTTCTACCACCTACCGATTTAGCTGGCTTTCCCTACCGATTTCAATCTTCCCAAATTATTTTTTTTTTTAAAATGCCCCTTGGCGCACTGACAAGCTGCTCGACTTTGGCTCCTATCCAATGAAATTGGATTTGCTCGTCACGTGATTAGTGTTTGGTTTTGGCGCCCCAGTTAAGTGTTGTTTATTCACATGACACACTGACAGCGACACACTGACAGCAACACACCGACAGCGACACACAGCGACAGGTTTTGATGGTTGTGATATGGAACTTCCCGAGAAGAAGAAGCCCACCAAGCGGTGGGACAATGTATTTAAAGCCAAGTGGACAGCAGGTCACCCGTTCATCAAGGTATCACGGAGAGGAGAGAAGCACGCATTCTGCGAATTGTGTAGGTCCGACGTCTCGATTTGCCATGGCGGACATAACGATGTAGTCAAACACATAGCCCCCGAAAAACACAAAAGTAATGCGATGGCAGTCAAGGGTACTACTTTATCTGTCATGAATATGTTTGTTAAGAAGAACCAGTCAACTGCTGTGATTAATGCCGAACTGTTATTCCAAGGAATGGTGATCGAGCACAATTTACCACTCGCCCTGAATGATCACTACTCAAAGCTGGTGTCTCGGATGTTTCCGGATAGTGAAATTGCCCGGCAATATGCATGTGGACGTACCAAAGCAACACATATAGCGTACAGTGTGGCAAGCCACTCGGTTGACGGACTGAAAAAGGCTGTGGGTTTGAAGAAGGCACCGTACAGCTTGGCAACTGATGGGAGTAGCGACGAAGAAGATAAGTTCTTCCCAGTACTTATCACTCATGTGGATGAAGAGACTGGCCTGATCACAACTTCATTCCTTGACATGCCAGTCGTAAATGAAGCGACTGGTGAGAACATCGCATCGGCCCTCAAGGCGTCCCTTAAACAAGGTGGATTAGATGTTGAACAGTGTGTGGCTTTCTCGTCAGACAACGCGTCTGTAATGACTGGACAGCATCGTGGTGTGATGAGCTACCTCCGCAAGGGCAACAAAGACATCCATTTAGTGGGATGCCCATGCCACCTTAGTGCACTGGCAGCCAAGACTGGTGGGAAAGCGCTGCGAAGTTTCGATGTGGAGGATTTCATCATAGACCTCTACTATCATTTTGATAAAAGGTGGGCAAAGTTATTACTGAACACTTCATATAAAATTCAGGGAATATATTTGCATGCTTTACAATTTAAATGAGTGTTTTATCCTTTTAACCTTAATTTGTTATATTTAATTACTAGACAAATGGCCAGTGGCGACTGGTCATTAGGGGCACAGCCCCACCTAGTGTCAGCAGAAAGTATTAAAAATAATGATTACAAAAAAATAAATAAAAAAATATATAAAATATATTTTAAGATCATGTTTAATCATCTGATTCGTCTGTACATTGCTGTTTTAGTCTGTGTTCTTCTAATTTCTTCCATTTGAAATGGCACATAAATTATGATATTAAACTTATATTCAAGTTCATTATATTAAACTATTTTACATTTCTGTTTCTTAGTGCCAAGAGGAAGCATCAACTGAGGGAGTTTCTCGTCTTCAACGATGTGGTCGTGAGGAAGATCCTGAAGCACGTTTCCACAAGATGGCTCAGCCTACACAAGTGCATCGAGAGGACGCTCAATCTCTGGGAAGGCTTGAGGTCCTACATCTTGTCAACCTTAGATGCTGATGAAGATGACATGGAGCCTCCGTCGAAGAGACAGAGGTAAGCTCAGCATTGGTATTTATTTTGAGAACCATATACAAATATTTAGTAAAAATGTTTAGGCATAGCGTTAATGCTATCATAAATAAATAGGCTACATTCTGAAAAGAATAATAAGTAATCTTGAATAAAACGCCATGATTTAGGTAGCTAATTTATTAATTTAATTAAGTACTATAGAGTAATTATTTACTTATACTCTACATTTTGTGAAAAGTGAAATATATCTCATTAAGAAATATAGACAATTCATGTTTACTTTAAATGTTGTGAAAATAAAATGTTTTGAATGTTCTTCATCAACCAGCATACCTTATTTTTGTATTAATATTTTAACCACCTATTACCTTTCATTTAGGTTGAAGAAGGGTGGTGCTCGTGAACAGAGGCTTCTGAAAGTATTCAAGAGTCCAACAGCAAAGCTGTACATGTACTTTCTACATGCCATCCTGCCAAACTTCGACAGCTTCAATGTACTCCTGCAGTCTGACGCCCCAATGATTCATCGGCTGTATCCATCAATGCTCAAGATCTATCAGGTATTCTAACTATTGTAGATAGCATAAGATTTCAGTCGTATATATGTAAAAAATAACGTTTTATACAATAGAACAATTACACTTGATTATAAATGTAGCACAGGTTTAATGATTCTGGGAACTATTATAAATTGTACATTCTGTGATGAAGCCATATCTTGTTTTGTTAATCCAGACAATTACTTTTTTCTCAGAGCTTCCTGTCCTGTTTGGTGAAGCCAGCTGTACTGCAGGAGGAGAGTGATGTCCTTCAGGTGGACTTCAGAAATCCCTCCAATCAGAAAGACAGCCAGGAGTTGTTCGTGGGGTTTGCAGCAATGCAAATGATCATAAAAGAAGACATGGAGGGCATGCATGAGGTGAAGAAATTCAGGTTGGAGGTCAGGGACTTCTATGTGAATGTGCTGGCCTATATGGCAAAGAAGTTCCCCTTCAAAGACAATCTCATCTGCAATGCTGTTGTGGTGGACCCTGCTGTTCGACAGAATCTGTCTATGAGGTCCTTTCTGAAGCTGCTGGATGAACTGCCCGCCTCTGCTGTCCCAACAGATAAACAGGATGCTGTGTGTGTGGAATTCATGCAGTACCAATCCGCCAAAGACACAGACCTACCCCCTTACACAGATGGAGAGCGGGTTGATGCTTTCTGGGCTGCCATGGCAAAGCTGAGGGATCCTGCAACAAGCCAGCCTTTTTATGAGAATCTCTGCACAGTTGCCCAGCATGTGTTGCTTGTGCCTCACAGCAATGCCTACTGCGAGGCCTTGTTCAGCATGGTGCGCAAGATCACTACTGATCAGCGGAGCCAGCTTGGGCGTGGCAAAGAAGGCCATTCTAAGTCAAGTGTTTACAGTGAAACTTATGGCATCCGAAACACTCTGTGTGGTCTGTTGGCAGGGAAGATAAATATCTTCAAAAAATTCACCTGCTGCAACTGGAAACCAGACCCTGAACTTCTGAAGAAAGCCAAATCCGCCACGTACCAAGCACTAAAATGATTGAACATTCTGTGTAATGATATATTGATGATGTGATGCATGCAATATATTAAATGCATGGTTTATACCAGTAATTCATGTGGTTCCATTTCTTCTGATCACCTAATTCGGGCGTGCACATTTGCCACGCGCAAACCTACCTCTTTTGGATTTGGAAAGGTTGGCATGGTATGGTACTCCTTCAGACTTTTTACGACTCTGTTGTGGCATCAGCCATTTTCTATGGTGTGGCCTGCTGGGGCAGCAGCATCTCGGCTGCTGACGGGAAGAGACTGAACAGACTGGTAAGGAAGGCCAGCTATGTCCTGGGGAGTCCTCTGGACACTGTGGAGGTGGTGGGAGACAGGAGAATGGCAGCCAAGCTGTCCTACCTGCTGGACAATATGTCCCACCCCCTCCAGGACACCCTGTCCTCACTGTGCAGCTCCTTCAGCGACAGGCTGCTGCACCCCAGCTGTCTCACTGAGAGATACCGCAGGTCCTTCCTTCCTGCAGCGGTCAGACTATACAACCAGCACAGCCCCTAGTAGACACCCCCCCCCCTCCCCTACACACACCACAACACAGACTATATCACCCCTTGCTGCTAAATACCAATCAACTATGTGCAATATGTGCTATATGTGCAATATATAAGTATATATATGCCGTTAATAACTGTGTAATTTATAACTGGCTGCTAATCCTTAGAACCGTTACAAGGTGTGTTTTTTTTGCATTTTGTATCTTGTAAATTGTGTAACTTGCTGCAGTTAAATACCATCATACTATGTGCAATATGTGCTATATGTGCAATATATACATTATATACATATGCCATTAATAACTGTGTAATATATACCTGGCTGCTAAATCCTAAGAACTGTTACAGGATTTGTATTTTGGAAAGTATTTTTCTTTTCTTTTTTATATTACATTTTTATTATATCATAACTTAGTACTTTTTTCTTAACATAGGTAACATTAAGCTGTCTGTGGCTCTTTCCTGCTGTAACGATGCAAATGTCCCCTCTGTGGGACTAATAAAGGTATTCTGATTCTGATTCTGATTTTCTGGTGCGCTTGCATTTTCTCTTTCGAGGTGGCTCTTGCAGTGTGTCATCAGGCCTGGCTGAAGGTCCAGCTTCTGGATCCACAAGGGTCAGGAGGACCTCATCTTCAATGGTGTGTGTCACATCAGGTGCATTGACGACCTGAAATGAAAGTTTATCAATATACTTTATACCCCTTAAAGGTAGGGAAGGTAAGTTTGAGAAACCGGCTCGAGATCGCTAGAATTTGAAAATACACAACCGGAGAAAATCTGCCACTTCCTTATAGAGCCCCTCCTCCAACACACACGAACGTGCACATGACCAATGAGGGCACGAGATAAGTTTGTGCACAGATGGAAGGCTGACAGGCAGGTAGGCCATCCAGTTATTTTAGCCGGGCCGGCTAAAATGATTGGTCGTGCTTTTTACAGTATTACGGTTTCCACAGATGACTTTTTTATGGATTTTTTGTCAAAGCACTTAAGATATTCATTGCTATCGGGATGTTAAGAGCATTCCATGGAATATAACAAAAAGTGTATCTCGAGCCGGTTTCTCAAACGTACCTACCCTACCTTTAATAAGATGATCACAAGCATGCAAGCTCCTGGAAAATTGTAGTACTAGGATGCTATATAAAGGCCCTGACACACCAGGCCGAAATTGGCCGTTTTCGTTAGTCGGACGACGAAGCGTGCCCTGTCGCCCAAACTCAATTTGGTGTGTCCCGCACCGTCGGCCGTGACACGCCTTATTTGGCCTTTCATGGTCGTGCGTCGGCCACAGGCAGTCGGACAAAGAAATCACTCTGATTGGCTGTTCAGCTAGCGAATCAGTGCATGAGAAGCGAAACGGTTGCTTGAGAATGTCTTCCACAAGCAACACTCCAATGGCCAACACACTCTCACTCCCTAAACGTCCAGGAGCGACGCTTGGTCAGGGTCCCGTGGCGTGCAGTTGGGACGCGCCGAGGCTCCTTCAGCTTCATAAACGGACGCAAGGAGCCTTCAACTGATTGCAATGTATTCCCATCAGCGGCGGTATTTGACGCTCATGGAAGCACCGCATCCGTTTATGTCGGCGGCTGTTTAAAGGCAATGTGAGCGTCCATTCCCATTGGATAACAGAGGATTTTACACCCGGAAGTAACTATTCTCCTTACTGTCGATTGATTTTACAGTGATATCTGCACTACTCATCAACTCAAAAACACCAGATTATCCTTGCTAATTACACAACATTGATTGGTTTAAATTGTGTGCAATGCTTTTGTATTTTTCCCCTTCGATTTAGGATGGCAGAAGACACTACACTACCCAGAATCCTCAGCTATTGTTTAGGACTACACCATGTGCTTTGTTTGACAAACCCCGTGATTAGTTCTCAAGCTCTGTGATTGGTTGACCTCCAACTGCATTCCATATGAAAAAAACGTTCGAGTCTTGATTTGGATAGTGTGCCATCGATGGGTTTCATTCCATTTCAAAGTGCTGTTTGACGCGGTGTAAACTTTGCGCACTGCCACTCCAACATCCAACAACATCTGCTCAGACCCATCTGCACGGGTCTCAGCAGATGTAAAATTAGGCCCCTTTTTGTCCATCTTTCCAACTCAATGGTTTGGTCAGGTCAGCAATTAGTTTTATAGGTCTGGCCTTGCTATTAATTACATAATTAACCACAGGCCCTAACCAATCTGGACATGCATTCCAGGTGTGTATTTGCAATTACTTATTATTCAGAGACTGATGTAGGCCTACTGACTGAAAGAACAGTCCGAACACAGTCATGGCAGGGATTGTTCACATCTTCCATGCTGGAAGGAGAGGTTACCGCCAAAGGGTCCACACCGAGCGCCCCAAACCTCTCCAACAGTACACAACAGAAGAACTGTACAATCGTTTTCGATTTGGACTTGATGACATCAACTACATTGCTGATCTGGTCAGGCCACAACTGCAGTGCAGAACCTTGCGTAGTCATGCTCTGACTGTAGAGGAACAGGTCCTCATTGCCCTGCGCTTTTACACATGTGGAACATTCTATCAGGTCATAGCTGACAGCATGGGAGTCCACAGGAGAACAGTGGGTGAAGTGGTGACAGCTGTGTCTGATGCACTGGCTCGCCTGCTGGATCACTTTGTGACTTTTCCCAATGATGGCCAGATTGCCAAAGTGAAGCAGCAATTTTTTCTTCTGGGAGACATGCCCAACACCATTAGGGTGATCGACTGCACCCATGTACATATTCAAGCACCTCGTCAGAGGGAGTGGGAATATGTCAACAGGAAAGGGATCAGCATCAATGTGCAAATTGTGGGAGATGCTGACCACCTTGCCATCACCAACTGTGTTGTGAGATGGCCTGGGTCAGTCCATGATGCACGAATCTTCAGAGAGAGCCGGTTGTTCACTGAATTTCAAACCAACAGGCCGGATGGAGTTATATTAGCCGACAGTGCCTACCCACTCCTACCATGGGTGATGACACCTTTTCCCACGGCAAACACTCCCTCACAGATGCGCTACAACAACGCCCATGGAAGAACAAGGTGTGTCATTGAGCGCTTGAATGGAGTACTGAAGAGGCGTTTTGCATGCCTGAACTATCTGAGAGTGGAACCCCAACGAGCATGCTGCATAACACTGGCTTGTATTGTGCTACACAATATCGCTGTCCATCGCAGAGTCCCCCTCTCTGACATCGATGATCCCCCAGAGTCCCTCGCACCTGCTGATGATCTAGGCCCACCTATGGATTTCCCTCTAAATGAGAGACTGAGTGGTGGTGCAATGCGAGATGCTATTGTCCGCAATTACTTTTGAAAGGTGATGACAGATGATGGACCTTTTTTTTGTTGAAGATATTTTTTCTTTAATCTAAATTACATTTGTGATTGACAATCGTTGTTGTGATACTTTTATGAGCATAAACATTTATGTCATCAACATTTGGTTGAAAACAAAATAGGCCACCACAAACGTGAGCAAAAATGGAAAAATAAAATGTATTTCCCATGAAGGCTAAAAATGGTATATTATTTCAGTTAACAAACTTTGCCATCTTATTTAAATTGAAACATATTTTAAAATAAATTGTACAGTACATTTTGCTCTGGTAATCCACCTCCTGGTGGGATCAGGATAATCCATTTTTTTGGGATCAAACTGATCCCAATCCTGTGTTACCCATTTTGAAGATTTGATCCAGATTAAAGCTTGGATTGGATTTCCTGATCTGATCGGATATCAAAGTGATCCTAATCCTGTTTTTTGGTTTTGAACTACCCAAAATCCAAATCTGATCTGATCAGATAGGGATTCAAAGTTTTGAACTCCAGGGCCCAGAACACAGGGAACATCAAGAAAAGCATAATGGGGCTCCTTTAAAGTATCAGATTTGGATAATCACTGTTTAAATGAAGCTCCTCGATGCACTTGCAAGTATGAGTGAAGGTCAAGAGATCAGTGAAAAAGATTTACATTTTAATTTAAACCTACCACAAGTCAAATATTAGCATACATATTTGAAATAATTTGTCAATGTTTAACAAACTAGAGAATACAATTCCTGAAGAAATTGCTAGTGGGAATGCTTTATGCTGAAAAGCTGACGCTGAATTGCTATGCTGAAATGTAATGTGTAAGAAGAAAGTGAAGAATTTAGATTGAAATGATACATGAACACTGGGGGCTTGAATGTGTGATGAGAGAAGAAAAGAAAGTAAAAAGGCTTGGAAAAGCAGCAGAATATTTGAACTGCAAACTTTTGAACTAACTTGATGGCGAATGCTCTATCACCATGGCAACGGCATTTGATGACACCCCATAATACGCTTAGATGTGTTGATGGCTGCATCGTTACCAAACCTGTGAAGTTTTGGGCCATTTCGAGCATTTGAACTGAAGTTGTGAGAAAACCGTGTTTCATAGTGAACGTTATGTTGCCAAGGCAACGGCATTTGAAGAAATCTTAAAACTGTCAAATAGATGTCTTCACGGCTGGACTGTTAGCACACATGTGAAGTTTGAGTTTAAAACCACAGCACTGAGACTGCTCTTGTAAAGGTCTTCAATGACATCCACTTAAACACAGACAGTGGCAGAACTTCAGTGTTAGTATTATTAGATCTCAGTGCTGCGTTTGACACTGTTGACCACAACATATTACTAGACCGACTAGAAAACTGGGTGGGACTTTCGGAAACAGTTCTAAATTGGTTTGAGTCCTACTTAAAGGACAGAAAAAACTTTGTTTCTATAGGTAAATACACATCTGGGTTGACAAATATGACATGTGGGGTACCTCAAGGCTCCATCTTGGGGCCTCTTCTCTTTAACATCTACATGCTACCACTGGCTCAGATAATGAAAAACAACAAAATAAGTTACCATAGCTATGCGGATGACACACACATTTACGTAACAATTTCACCAGGAGACTATGCTCCAATTCAAACACTGAGTAAGTGCATTGAACAAATCAATGACTGGATGTGTCAGAACTTTCTCCAATTAAACAAAGATAAAACTGAGGTAATGGTTTTTGGAGCCAAGGCAGAACGTATAAAAGTTAGCGCTGAGCTTCAGTCTGCAATGTTCAAAACAACAGATAAAGCCAGAAATCTAGGTGTAGTCATGGACTCTGACCTGAGTTTCAACAGTCACATTAAAACAGTTACTAAATCAGCCTACTATCACCTAAAGAATATATCCAGGATTAAAAGACTAATGTCACAGCAGGATTTGGAAAAACTTGTCCATGCTTTTATCTTCAGTAGACTGGACTACTGTAATGGTGTCTTTACAGGTCTCACTAAAAAATCTATTAGAAAGCTGCAGCTAATTCAGAACGCCGCTGCTCGAGTCCTCACTAACACTAAGAAAGTGGATCACATCACTCCTGTTCTGAAGTCCTTACACTGGCTTCCTGTGTGTCAAAGAATAGATTTCAAAATATTGTTGCTGGTTTATAAAGCTTTGAATGGTTTAGGCCCAAAATACATGTCTGACCTACTGCTAAATTATGAACCATCCAGAACTCTCAGGTCTTCAGGGACTGGTCAGCTTTCTGTCCCCAGAGTCAGAACTAAACATGGTAAAGCAGCGTTCAGTTATTATGCTCCAAATATCTGGAACAAACTCCCAGAAACCTGCAGGTCTGCTGCAACTCTTACTACTTTTAAATCCAGGCTGAAGACTTTTCTTTTTGCCGCTGCTTTTAATTAAACTATTCATATCTTAAACTGCACTGTAACTTTTATCCATGTATTTTTTCTTTTAATGTTTATTTTATTATCTTTTATTTTTAATGACTGATTTTAAATGCCATTTTCTTAATGTCTACCATTTTTGTAAAGCACTTTGAATTGCCTTGTGTTGAAAGGTGCTATATAAATAAACTTGCCTTGAGCACTTTTTGACCATTTTCATAGGAGTTATAGCAATATCGTGTTTTACGGCGAGGGATGCATTGCCATGGCAACAGCTTTTGAGGAAAACTCACTAATGGCACATAGACATGAAGGCTGGACCATTAACCATTATCTGAAGTCTGCTGCTCTGAGCATGTCAGTTGGAGTTATGACATCGTGTTCCATGACACAGGTGTTTATATTTGAGCTAACGACGTGTCCAGAGATCAAAGGTTTCCATGGTGATGTGCAGTAATCAGTGAGAGGAGAGCCTTTTCATTGTTCTGAATGAGAGATAAACCTCTTACATGTGAACGTTTTGTTGAACCGTAACAGATATTGGTGAAATTTCAACGTGTGAAGCATCTGAAGGAAGTTGAGCATCTGAAGTGTGCTTTTTGTGTACTTTCGGGTTAATGTGGCCTTTTTGGCAGATTAACTAAAGGTGTGCGGCTAATGCTGTGAGTAAAGATCAGCTTGAATTTACAATTGGCTTTAATGGAGACATGAACGTTTTTGTCACTTCATGCCCTCAAGAGGCATTTGGTTTAATTTATTTTTCAAGCTTAGAGATGTTTTCCTACGTTTGTCATGACAAATTAAGTCTCAGGAGTGTAGTGTTTGGGAATTATGGCAGGTTTAAAAAAAATATATGAAGGCGAATTTCAAGCTGTCCTCCACTCTAGCTTTGAGATCACACACACCTTAATGTTAAAATCTGAAGAAGGCCTCTTTACCAAGGTCGGAACAATGTTTAATATTTCTAAAAGAATGAATCAGATTTAAAAGTTGTTTAACATGAATGTCAGAAAGATATATATTTTTTTTAACTAAATGCTCACTCCAGGCAGTCTCCAACAAATGCATAAATTAGGCATATTTTGAGTTTCAACAATATGAATACTAAAATATGGCACACTTTTGGAAAGGTATTTTTCAAGCCTCAGGAGACTAAAGTTCAAGGTGCAATGTTATGATGAAGCAGTATGTCCGTATTGTATGCCTATTGCATGAAACCGTACACACAGGCAGTTGCTGTACAGTACATAATACATTTAAATATATGTGATTTGGAACGGAAAATTAGTTTGGACCTCCCCATAACCATAGAAAACACAACTATAGATTAAAAAAAACTCCAATATTCCCAAGAAAATACTACAAGTGTGAATTATTTAAAAATATTTTATTAGGACTTTGTTTAGGAGCTCATTATAATGATTGGTCCTGAAGTTACGTGTTTGAAACCAGGGTCATCTGAAACGTCACGATTTTGACCTGTGGGAGAAAAAAGAAAAATATATATCTTAGCCACTTTATTCAAAAGTCATTGTCCCATTTTATAATTTGAGCAAACACATGTAAACCTTATTGTACATTACTGGATAATGAAATCAGCATGTATGAGAGCATACCCTTCATCGTGTTGTCCTGGTCTGAACACTGCACATTACAAGCTGCATCCACTGGATTTCTAACATCACAGATTACCACCTCACAGTGGACAAAGACCTACAAGATATGAACAGATTTAAGGGTTTGTTATAGACAGCGTACTTTTGTTTTCCAAACTCTGATGCTGCGTTCACACCGGACGCGATGCTAATATTCACATCGCTCGAAGCGCTCGAGTTTCACCGCGGCTGCGTTTACTCTCATCATTCAAACAAGACGCGCTGGCTCGGGAGCTACAACTACAACAAAATGAACATATTTTACCGTGATTAAAATTGTAATACACGTTTCTAAATGATGCCGAAGTAACAACATACTGATACCGGTTGGTAAAAACCATAAATTAATGCTTGACAAGTCTGCAGCCAAGACGGCAGGCGAAAAACCTTTTTAAATGCTTGTTGAATGAAGATCGGGTCGACCAGGCTAAGCTAACGTTGTATATGCTCATTCCACACTCATAACAATGAGCCTACAGACATAAATAAACCAGCGACTGTATTCGCCATGACACAGACAGTCTGTGGTTTGTACTCGTTTAACTTTTGTCCAGTTTCTGAACAGATATGAGGAGCTGTGAGCTCTGTGTGCTAACTGCTAATGTTTTCTGGTTGAACGTCAGGCTGAGATCCTCACCGCTGATTGGCTTCTGCGAGAATGCGTCACGTGAATTTGACACTCGAGTTGAAAAAAATTGAACTCTCGCGTTTGACGCGGCACCGTTAAATCGCGTGATTCGCGCCCACCGCTTCATGCTCGCTGTTGGAGCGAATTTGCGTCTGTCCGCGTCTCTGCATTGACTTTACATGTAATTGCGCCACCCCCAAACAGCGCGTCCGGTGTGAACGCACCATGAAGCATCTAAAAATAAAAAGACTATTTATTCTTATGACTGATAGTACCTGGCGGTTCAAGTTATCCTTGTCTTCGGCGAAGGCAAACATCGGGACCTCAAAC